AATTTTTATTTTTTGTTGGTTCATGCGATAGCGATATATTTAAAGAATATTCATGCCAAATTTCAAGTAAATCGACTGATTAGAACTTGAGTTAGAGTGGCGACCGCATCAAAAAAAGTAGTTCCGAGAAAAACGCGTTTAAAGGTCCAGTCGTTCCCTCAACTGGTCTAGTTGCCACGTCACTAAAACGGCTATAGCTTTCAAAATAATTTGAGTTTTGAAAAATCCTTTTAGGGAGATATTTTTGATCATCCAAACTATCGAATTATGAAAAAAAAAATTTTTCGATTTTCTCAAATTTCTAGACTAGAAGACCCCCTTAAGCCATTCCTATGCAATAGCATAGACAAATCACTCTGGCGCTCCGAATGGGAGGTCTGGTTGCGCGCATTCAACATATATGCGGACAGCGAAGAGATCAGCTTAACTCTTAAAAAGCGCAATAAACTTCTGCATTTGGGAGGGTCACAACTTCAGTCTATTGTTTACAACTTGCCAGGAGCGATGGTCCCTTATATTCCGGAGGAGCAGAACGATGTCTTCACACCTTTGGTAAAAAAATTAAACGAATATTTTTCGCCGATACGCAATTCGGTATTTGAGCGACGTTTGTACCGTGGCATGACACCGCGGGATGGAGAATGTTTCACCGAGTTCCTTATGCGATTGCGTCAGCAGGTGAGGAAGTGTAATTTTGGTACTTCCAAAACAAAAATAGAAGAGACCTGTCTCAAGGATAAATTAATTGATCCTTGGGCACCGGCTGAGCTGAAGAAAAAGTTGCTGTCAACTGAACAGTCCTTGGAGGGAGTCATATCTGCTTGTCTAATTGAGGAACAGGTGAGCAAGCAGACGCAATCAATGTCATCAAATGAATGCTCAGGCTCTATGGTCAATATGATTGCATCGCGCACGGCTAGATGGAAAAACACCAAAGTAGAGTGCGGCAGATGTGGCCGAAATGATCATGATTCAAATAGTTTGCTCTGTCCAGCGAAAAATGCGGAATGTAACAGATGTTCCAAAGTCGGGCACTTTGCTAAGAGATGTCGGACTACTGTGAAGAGATCCGGCGGAAATCATCGAGGAGGTACAAAGCGGCGCTATGTAGATGAAGCACCGGTCCGAGCAGTGAGTGGTGGTCAACAATTTCACAATCACTGTTTTCGAGTTGCGAATGATTGTGACATGGGCGAAGTCATTTCTTGCCGAGTTGGTGGCTTACCAATTAGCATGGTCATCGATTCCGGGTCCAAGTATAACTTATTAAGTCAAGATGATTCGAACTATCTACAAGAAAAAGGCGCTGCTATATTAAATCTGCGAACTGAGTCGACAAATCAATTTCGGGCATATGCTGCGGATCAGTTGTTACAGATTTCATGTGTGTTTGAAGCACCGATTGCAGTTGGAGGGAATGCTGAGTCTATTGCAACCTTTTATGTAATAAAAAAAGGTAGGCAATCGCTGCTTGGTCGCGAAACAGCCATAAAACTCAACGTGTTGCGACTGGGCATATCTATAAATAGAGTCGAAAAGCTAGAACCTTTTCCAAAGTGGAATAATGTATCTATTCGTCTGTCAATTGATCCACATGTGAGGCCCGTGAAACAACCAATGCGACGCATCCCAGTCGCCATTGAAGACAAGGTAAAAGGAGAGCTAGAATCGGCTTTAGCTCAGGATATAATAGAGCCAGTACACGGACCAAGTGAATGGATTTCTCCAATAGTTATTGCATTCAAAGGTGATGGGAATATAAGGCTATGCATTGATATGCGTCAAGCGAATAAAGCAATTCAACGGGAAAATTACCCATTACCAACATTCGAATCGTTTTTAACGAAACTTAAGGACGCTAAGTATTTTTCTCGACTGGATTTGAAGAGTGCGTATCAACAATTGGAATTGCATCCAAATAGCCGAGAAATTACTACATTTATAACACCACAAGGACTGTATAGATACAAGCGTCTACTCTGCGGTGTTAACTCAGCACCTGAGATATTTCAAAAACTGCTGGAGGAACGATTAGCGAAATGCCCGAATGCATTAAATTATATAGATGATGTAATTGTCTTTGGGAGTTCATTGGAGGAACACGACAAAATGTTAGAGATGGTAAAAGTTATTTTCAAGGAAAACAATATATTTCTAAACAAAGATAAATGCGTATGGAAAACACAGCGACTTAAGTTCCTTGGGCATATATTATCTGACACAGGCATTTCTGCTGATCCAGAGAAAATAGAAGTAATTACGGCATTCAGACCACCAAAGAACAAAGAGGAACTTCGTAGTTTCTTAGGCCTGGTCACGTACGTGGGAAAGTTCTTGCCAGATTTGGCAGATACAACAGAACCGTTGAGAAAGTTACTCAAAGCGGATGAGAAATTTCTGTGGAACCAAAAAGAACAGCAAGCATTCGACAAATTAAAAATTGGAGTTTCACGAGTTTCGGAGTTGGCATATTTTAACGTGAAATTAAAAACTCGTGTAATAGCTGATGCCAGTCCTGTAGCGCTGGGAGCGGTCTTAATACAGTTTGATGTCGAAAATAATCCATTTATCATATCGTTTGCAAGTAAGAGCCTTTCTGATGTTGAGAAACGATATTCGCAAACAGAAAAGGAAAGTTTGGCATTGGTATGGAGCGTGGAGAAATTTCATTACTATGTTGCTGGTCTGGAATTCGAGTTGGTAACTGACCATAAGCCATTGGAAGCGATTTTTAAACCAACTTCTAAGCCTCCAGCTAGAATTGAGAGGTGGTTATTACGTCTACAGGCATACCGTTTCCAGGTAATATATAAGTCTGGGAAGGAAAATATTGCTGACTCGATCTCACGCTTATGTGACATTTCAAGTACTAAATCATTTGATTGGGGTGGAGAGGAAAACATATTCCATATGATTTCAATTTCTACTCCGACATCTTTAAATATATCCGAGATTTCCGAAATGAGTACAAGAGACGAGGAAGTACTAGATGCCATAACATGCCTGGACAATGACTGCTGGAATTCTGCAACAACTAGCCCATATTATCCGTTTCGCCTGGAGCTGTCGAGTATTGGTAGTATTCTACTAAGAGGAAGCCGTCTGATCATCCCCCAACAACTACGACAGAGAGTTTTAACACTAGCTCATGAGGGACACCCTGGAGAAGCAGCAATGAAAAGGCGACTGAGATCAAAAGTATGGTGGCCAAAAATTGACAGGGATGCAGAAAAATTTGTCAAGGATTGTCGTGACTGTATATTGGTATCTTTACCAGATAATCCAGTCCCAATGAGACGTCATGCATTTCCGAGTAGCCCATGGGTATGGGTAGCCACTGATTTGTTGGGACCGTTGCCAAATAATGAGCACTTGCTAGTCCTTATTGATTACTATTCTAGGTACATAGAAGTAAAATTTGTAAAATCAGTTTAAAAAATATTGTGAGACGAATGGAATTGACCTCATTACAACCCCTCCATATTGGCCTCAAGCTAATGGCGAGGTAGAAAATATGAACAGGTCATTAGTAAAGCGGTTAAAAATAGCACATGTGAATGATAAAAGTTATAAACAGGAGATTCAAAAATTCATATTAATGTACAATGTCACTCCCCATGGTACTACGGGCTCGCCACCATCCGAGCTTATATTTAATCGCACAATTAGAGACAAGATTCCGGGAGTTCAGGATATAGTTGGGGAAGTGGGAGAAACTGAAGAGAGAGACAGGGACTTTATTGGCCTCGAACTCTTTTACAACCATATTATCCGGCCAAAAGTCGCCCGAGCATATGGCTTCAAAAAGCTCGTTAGGGACAGTTATCTTGAAAGATGAAATGTCTCTAGCATAAGAAAACTTAAACTTTTCCACCTTTACACTATTACAATCGGCTTTAGTTTTGTCTTGTATATAAGACAATACATCAGAAGATGTTTGATCAGGGGAAAGCCGAGAAACGAAAATTTGTTTCTTTAGTGGAACCACTAAAAGGGATTTTGGTGGAGCAGACATTGTTTCTGCAGAACCAACTTGAGCCGGTTGTCCGGACTCAGTAGTCCCTTGTGGTGGTGATACTACATTCTGAGAGATAGGTGGATCCACTAATTGTGAAACCACTACGGACAAATCGGAATTCTTAGAAGTCCCTGGTTGCATGCATTCTGTAACGGATTGTTCGGATACCGAATCTTTTTTAGCTGCTGATCTTAGCAACATTTGAGGGTTTGCTGAAATCAGCTGCTGATCCGCCGGAATGCTCTGTTGTTCTTTTGATTTCGGTTGCGGGGTGTTCCCCTTTTGCTCCTTACCACCAGCGGCCTTTTTGCGCTTAGGGGACTCTTCTAATAGCTTACGACTATTAAACTGCGAGTCCAGCGCAGATAGGAGATCATCAGCTCGGCGAAAACTATCTCTAGCCACTCCGAAACAGCTAATCAGTCCCATCAGGCCGCCTTTAGTTTGGCGCATGAACGATTTCATCTCGTTCGCAACCTCGACACAAGCGTCACAACAAAACTGCAAATTGGGCCCCTTTGAAAGGTCATTACTTGTCCGGCCAGTAAAACCGGCGCACTTGGTGTGCACCATATTTTCACACAGCCAGCAAGTCATATTAGACTGGTCAGCCCTGATTACGAGGCTGCATTTTTTGCAGAAGCAGACTACGTTTTTATTATTCATTTTATTTATTTACCACTGTACCAAGAAAGCGAAATTGAAATTTATAAGCGAGCAGTTATAAGTACCGCAAGAGCGCAGAAACTGCACGCTTAGAACTTTCAAAAGCAAAGAGAGCAAGAGAGCGGGAGCGTAAATAAGTTAAAGTGCATGCACAAAAGAGAAACAGCGTGGATATAAATAGGATAGAAAACACAGATAAGAATTACGAAAAACTAAAACAATTTATTAGTATCAATACAAAGAGCACTCGCGAAGCGAACGGAGTTTAAATTTATGTTTAAATAACCGAAAGAAAATTTAATGTTGTTTTTATAAAACCCACCGATGGGAATAAACGAAAACAAAATACAAAATTCGAAGCGCAGAAAAAAAACACGACCGTTCACTTTGAAAGTCAAAGACGTTTGGACATCGAATCTTCTCAACAGTTGGATGGCAGCGAACAAGGAAATGGTGCCTCACTTGTAACTCAGCCACCACCGCTACCGCCAGCAGAAGCGATTCCCGATATCTCCGTGGAGCAGCCTTCAGATGTGCAGCAGAACTTGAAGCTGAAGCTGAAAAAAATTGGAGGGATGTGGCAGCCTGTCACTGCGAGCGTTGCTGACAGCGGAGAACATGCTGACATTCATTGAGTCATTCTCTTACATACACTTGTACAGTGCGGACCGCACCGGAGAAAGAATAAATATTATTTGTGTAATCTAATAATTGCGTGCAGTTGGTTTGTACTTATTTGGGAATTTGCAGGTCATTACAGTCCTCTTCACGCTTTCGGGATCGGTATGACGTTTACCGTTGAAGCCAACCCGAACGCCTGTCGGAAGTCAACTCCAAAGTTCGCTGCCTGCAGCTAGTGCCGTTTCCACTACGTACTTCTGGACGGGCACACCTAAACCTTCGACCAGGTCTCTGCACGTGACTCATCTTGTTGGGTAAGTAATAATAAGCAGCGCGTTCTCGTCTGAAATGCCGCTGCATTCATCACATCTGGACGTTACAGCAGATCTGAATGATTTTCCCGTTTGAGCTGAAGCCGCTAAATAGATAATAAATAATCGTACAATGCGTGTAAGTCACGGAACACGACCACTCATTTAAGTTTAAAACCGATATGAAAAATAAAAAACCAACCAGAAACCAAATAAATCAAATTTAAAAGTTTGTACAGTGTGCACTCGGCTTAGACGTTTGACAGCTACCGATTTATATCCCTGGCCTACGCAAAGTCATTTGCCATTTTTCCCTGTACTATCCCAAAACTGGGTTATAAAAAAAATCCAAAGCCATCCTAACGAAACCCTAAGCACACTGAGCTAGGAGGGGGTCACCCTTTACCAAACTTTATCGAAATCCCAATAAAACCAAAATAAAACCAAATAACCAATTACCTACTATCTTATTTCCTTCCAGCCAACTTTAAACGCATAAACTTTCACATTGACTATTTTTTTTCCGGCACTTTATCCATTTTAAGATTTTTAAATCCTTTGATTTACCTTTAAAATGCCTTTCCAAAATTGTATGGCTTTCCAAAATGCCTTGCAATTGACCTCAAAATCAAATGCAATCTGCTTCAAAGGTAATTTTTCTACTTCGCACTCATGTCTAGGAAGGCAACGAGCTTTAACAATTCAAAAGTTCATGACAGCCTAAAACTTATCTAAAACCAAAGTTATATTGTGGCAAAACTGAAACAGTGAATTCTTTTGCACATTTTGCCTTCCCCCAGCCATTCTGGAAAACTCGCCCATAAAAAATAACACCCAATCAACAGCTGAAACAATGCATACGTATAAACCGGTTAGCAGAATAGTAAATAATATGAAAAATTACAGATTGAATAATAGAATTGAATAATAGAATTGCCAAAAAAAATTTTAAATTGACATTAAAGAAAATTCATATCTTTATAAATATTTTTTTATTTAGCTATAATATATAAAGTAAATATTCTTCATCACCAGGCGAGTCGATCTAGTCATGTCCGTCTGCAGGAATAAAAGTCGGAAATCAACAGATCGGGAAATAAAATTTCGTTGTTTTTTATCATATACCCGTAAATTTTATAAAAATCGGTCGACTATATTATATAGTTCACATAGGAACGACCGAAAATCGTCCTATCTTCATTGAAATCAAAATATACAATATTTAATTTTTGTAACAGCTGCAGAGGTATATAAACTGCGACTTGTCCTGGCTTCCTTTCTTGTTTTTTATACCCTTGCAGAGGGTATTATAATTTTGGTCAAAAGTGTGCAACGCAGTGAAGGAGACATCTCCGACCCTAAAAAGTATATATATTCTTGATCAGGATCACCTCCTGAGTTGATATAGCCCTGTCCGTCTGTCTGTTCCTACGCAAACTAGTCTCTCAGTTTTAAAGATATCGAATTGAAACTTTGTACACACCCTTCTTTCCTTTGCACGCAGTATATAAGTCGGAATGGCCGGGATCGGCCGACTATATCCTATAGCTGCCATATAAATGAATGATCGGAAATGCCATAACTTTGGTGTTTGTAAAGTTAGTAAGTTGGGATTGGTTTTATGGGTTTTATTTTTGGCCAATCAATCCGATCTACCAAATTTCATAACGATCGGCCGACTATATCCAATAACTGCCATATAACTGAACGATTGGAAATGCCATAACTTTGGTGTTTTTATGTTGTTTATTTAATAATATTGGTGCATAATTATAACAAATGTAAGTTTGTTACATTTTTAATTCATTTATTGATAGCCCGTTTGGGCAGTTTGAGCCCTGTTTAGAAACTAAAAGTAAACTACAATTCAATTCAAAATAAGACTGCGACTCGACACTAAATCGTTCGGCCAAGATGCTGATGCTGATTTGGGCAACCACTGCTGGCGGCCTGCAACTTTTTTGTTGACTCGGCGCCTTGTGAAATATATTGCAATATTATTAGAAATTTGGGTTGAGGAAAACTCAATGTGCAGTCTTTTAAATTATATTTTCCTCCGTAAATAAGAAAAAATATATGTTATTAATTACAACACGGTAATTTAAATTGTTAGAATCACAATAATAAATCTTCATTGTAATTATAATATATTCAGAGTATATTCGGCTCCGAATATGGAATACTTTTTAACTGAGCTGCAACAATATTTTTTCATTTGAGAGGAAATGTAAATTCGAAATCAACATGTTGCTACTCTAAATGCGACAGAAAATTATTTAGAGTTTTCATTGATTCCGCATTTTTCTGTCTAGTTACTTTTTAACCATTGATAAAAATGTAGTTAACAGATGTTTTTACAATTTTAATTAGTCCACAATTAACTTCAAAACTACTTATAGTTACCATTTTAAATTAAATATTTATTATTTGAAATATCCCTAAATGCTTGGTGTAAAATAAAAGTTGTTACTGTTTCGATAATTTTTTTTGACTTTACAAGGTGAAAAGAAAATCAAAAAATTAAAATTTAATGAGAAGACTCAAGGTAAACCTAATGTTAAGATTGGGGGAAGGAGGCCAATATTAAACTTTAAAAAGAAACCTAGAAGAATCCAGAAATGGGTAATTGACTAGTCCGGGAAACACACCTATCCCGATATACCAACGTTTTGTTTCGGACATGCGCCTGATTTTAAAAATAGTAAGTGTATAATTGAACCTACCCGCTTAACTAAAATACATCACACATCCTGTGGCTAGAGGGTTCAACGCCGTGAAGTAACGTAGTCGCGCCCTTTTGTATGTTCATTTTTGCATATTAATTATAACAACAATAATAATTTTAAAATAAGAATTAAGAAAATAATAAATTAATTTATGTGATCAAAAATAGTAGGGCTATTAAATGCAACGTACTTTTGGAAAAGCCATTCCAATTCCCACATGACTATCGTAACATTGAACAAAGAATCTAAAAATGTGGATATACGAGAACTTACAAATGCTTTTTCTGCATCATGTTTCCATTCAAATTTGGTTTTGGATTTTAGACAGTATTGACAATGCTGCCGGCACATCCAAACATTCCCTTTTACCTATATTAGTCCGGTAACCCCCTGAAGGTTTTCGAATGCCTTACGTTCTTTGGTGCTGGAATTCGCACAAGAACTTTAAAGCAAACATTGTATTTTTGTTGTCCGATTATGAGATTGGCGTTCCATAGGCTTTCGACTACCTTTGAAAGTATCTGTCGAGTTGCTAAACAGAGACGTTAAGTCTGTAAACCCAATTGGCATCCGTCGAAACTCATATAGCGGCCTCCCTGGAATAGTAAATGCCGGGAACCCCATGCTTCTCGAATACAGCAGAATTCGCCAAAAGGCATACCTCAAATCTACGCTGCTGATGTAGATGGTTTCATCTACACGGCTCAGAATGAGTAAGCAACCTTAGGAGTGACCTTATTGAGCTTCATGGCATCTAAAAATATCCTTTTTTTAAACAAGAGTGCCTTGGTTATCCCATGGACATTTACCAGGATGAGAGATTTTTCTTTGACCAACTCCAACTGTGCTTTCCTCACTTTCAACGGTATGTAAGGCTCTAGGGGTACGCTCGTAACGTGAAATTCATCTTCAACTACGCCATAAACTTTCGAAGCTAATACGAATTTTCTCTAAAAGTCTATATTTAGGTATAGATTTTTTAGCTGTTGACTTGACCTTTAGTACTCCCAGCTTCAGTTGCTCCACAAAACACATGCAACCGTCTACAAGAAAACTCATCGAAGCCTCCGCATCTAGTAGACTTGGCCCCTTTTGAATTTCTATACCAACTTGAGCGAACGCTATATTCTCTGTCATAGCTGCCGCTCTAAAGCTGAGCTGTGAAATTCTTTTCATTTTCTTGCCCTGGCTACCCTTGCAAAAATGTACGATTTGCCTTTTTCTAAATAATATCTCCCCTGCTTGCAGTTATTCGTTCTCTCGCTCCTTAACATAACTAGCCACGTGCGCCTTTAACCTATCTGATTTGTTTAAATGATTATTTTTTTAATGATTTCTTAAACATTTTTAATTATCTATTATTCTATTTCTTAGATTATCGGAGGAACTTAGGTGTTTCTTTTGGGTCAGGAGCGAGATTTTTCCGGTTGCGTCGTGCTCCACATTCGTTTTTATCCCCTGGGATTTTGGAGCAATCCGCATTTTTAGCACACTATGTTACGAAACACCAGGAATTTATCTGCACTCCCGGTCTCTTCCTCGGACGTCTCGTAGTGATCCTGGAATACACTCTCTTTGTGAACGTGGTATCTTGTGAGTTCTGGAATGCTTCTTAGTACCGGATGTGTGAGACCAACGACTGACTAGAACCCTTTCGGCCTCGTTGCTCTCCTGTCTGTTTGTAATCCACGAAGGACAAATTAATTACGAAATTACGTCTCTGATGTTACTTTTTATTGACCCAATTAGGTTATGATCCGAGATGTTGGCGTTCAATTGGCCTCACAAGCTTCTCATCGTCTTTAGCCCGCAGCTTTTGATCGTGCAGTTCCCGTTCATCTTGAAATTCGGACAGCCGTTTGATTTCGTGGTGCTAACAACGATCCAAAACCACTCTTTGCGCTAACCTTCCAATAAAAATAGCTCAGGATCTCGTCCCATTACACTTTGGGTGCCCTCTGCAAATCCTCACTTCTCTGATTTGCTTTCCAATGCCTTTTTCCAATTCCGTCATTTGAACTTCTAAGACAGTTTTCCGAAATTTTAAACTAGCTCGATCTTCCATGAGCCAGCAGGACTTCAGAACCAGTTCCACCTGCAAGGCCAATGTTGTTTGATTTGTCAAGCCTAATACTAAGATCGAAAATCGAGTTCGTCATCGACAAAACTTGTATTTTTCCAGTGTGTCAGCATTTTTGAGAGTCCATCAAAACAGTGCGTGTAAGACAGCTAGGGTAATACACTCATTCAGCTGGATTTGTTGACAAACAGTTTAAATTACAAAAAATTATCTGCAGAAAAGAGCACTTAAATAATATTCTCAAAAACCTTGGCGAGACGAGTCTGCCAATTTACAAATAAATTAAGAAACAATACAATTTAAATTTAAGAGTTTCTTTTTTTTAATTTACTGATAATTATTTGGTAATGCCAAGGTCATAGATAGGTTCTTGCAGGTGATTTTTGTATGTTTTTCCGACCCTTTTGTATTCCTTTTTTGACAACAGATACTTCAAAAGATTAAATTATTTACTCTTTTCCCTAGGGACTGACAAATGTCATACAAAGTTAATTTCAGCTGACTGGCAACGTACGCTATTTTATGGTATTTTTTTCGTCGATCTGAGATCCGGTGAAAAAACAGATTTCGTCGATCGGAGTACTAGGCCTAAAGAAAATAATATTTAACAAGAAAGGAAAGCTAACTTCGGGCAGAGCCGAAGTTGATATACCCTTGCAGAATATTCTGTAAATTATATTCTCCAAAATTATTCATATGATGCATTCTTAATACTCATAAAAAATTCCAACTTCCTAACTTTGCAAACACCAAAGTTATGGCTATAGGATATAGTCGGCCAATCCCGGCCGTTCCGACTTATATACTGAGTGCAAAGAAAAGGATGATGTGTGCAAAGTTTTAATTCGATATCTTTAAAACCGAGAGACTAGTTTGCGTAGAAACAGACAGACGGACAGACGGACATGCATATATCAACACAGGACGCGATAGGGTCGGAGATGTCTCCTTGCACTCTTTTGATCAAAATGATATGATATGATATAATGATATATAATGATATGTGCACATAAAATAACATATACCTACATATGTATATACAACAAATTTGGATAGCTTTTATTACTATTACTTATTTTTATACCCTTGCAGAGGGTATTATAATTTTGGTCAAAAGTGTGCAACGCAGTGAAGGAGAAATCTCCGACCCTTTTAAGTATATATATTCTTGATCAGGATCACCTGCTGAGTTGATATAGCCATGTCCGTCTGTCCGTCTGTCTGTTTCTACGCAAACTAGTCTCTCAGTTTTAAAGATATCGAACTGAAACTTTGCACACACCCTTCTTTCCTTTGCACGCAGTTTATAAGTCGGAACGGCCGGGATCGGTCGACTATATCCTATAGCTGTCATACAACTGATTGATCGGAAATGCCCTAACTTTGGTGTTTGTAAAGTTTAAAAGCTGGGATTTTCGATGGGTTTTATTTTTGGTCAATCAATTTGACCTACCAAATTTCATAAGGATCGGCCGACTATATCCTATAGCTGCTATATAACTGAACGATTGGAAATGCCATAACTTTGGTGTTTTTAAAGTTAGGAAGTTGGGATTTTTTATGAGTATTAAGAATGCATCATATGAATAATTTTGGAGAATATAATTTACAGAATATTCTGCAAGGGTATTTAAACTTCGGCTCCGCCCGAAGTTAGCTTTTCTTTCTTGTTTCATATTTCTGTCCATCTTCTCCACCGGCACCACTAGCTACAATAAATTTATAATTTAACACAAATAAGGACTGGGTCGTCGGTGAATGTTAACGCATAAAAAAGGAGCCGGTCCAGGGCCGTCAAAAAAATGAGTAGCAAAATCTAATCTAAAGAAAAAACAAAATATAAAATTTTCTAACTTATTTGCATTTTTATAAAATCAATTTTCGTTGCCATTTTACATTTTTGACGAAATGTCCTGATTAGTTTCTTTTCAAAAATCAATATTTTTATTCATTTTTATTTGTTACCAAATAAGAGCCTTAAAGCCCTTCGCTTTAATATTTTACCCATTATTTTAGATAATTTTACCGTCTATGCATGCATTAATTGAATATTTATATTTTAATATGTTTTAATTTGTATCAATGTCTATAATTATTATTATTTTTGTTCTCATGAAATACCAACATTTTTCCTTTTTTGTTAAATAAAATTTATAATGTATAATATAAAATTATAATAACCAGGTTTCTGTACATACAATAATATTATATGGAAAGTAAAAGCTATCCGAGTACAATTTAGTCAGCTTACTAAGTAAGCCTCTTGTATTCTGATGGGAAAGAAGAAAGGAGGAGGCTTGTTTTATGGGGCGGAATAGGATGTGGAGGGAGCTGAGGATGGTTCTTTAATGGTATTTTCCATTTCCCCTGAACTATTTTTTTTTTTTCTGCTTCGTACACTTGTACAAATATGTCCTATGCATAAGTAAATTTAAATTGTTTAACCTTCAAATCTGCAACTTAGATTTTGTAACAGATATAAGCCGTAAATCCATTGATGAGAGGTCTAGGGCGAGCCGTGAAACAAATATGTACATGTGTTAGCTGGAGAACCAGAACTCAAGTTACTGTTTTTGGTACCACGCATGCCACCTTTTTTGGTACTCCAGAATTTGTATTTGCACTACCAGTATCGGTCAGTAATCCGGACGATAAGTCCACTACTTTCTCGCTGTTGCAGAAACGCAGCCTGTGTGAATAGGCTTTTAGAAACGGAAAAACATCGATGATGCCCAGCCAAACATCGATGTTACCGATGTTTTGAAAACATCTATGTTACCGATGTTTTGAAAACATTTTTGTTTTGAAAAACATCGATGTTTTTGTTTTAAAAAACATCGATGTTTTCTTTTAATATATAAAATTATAAATATAATTTAAAATTCACAGTGGAATTTATATTAAAAATGGAAAACAAAACATTTATTCAGTCAACAGAAATTCCAAGTACAAAAACATAAATTCAAGAGATCAGCCTTACAAACTAGTAGTTATAAAAGCCTATCATTATTTTTGTTTATAAACATGAGCTGATTAACTACATTTGCCTTCAATTGTGTACGGCGATAAGAATTGATTTGTCCCGCTTTGCTAAAAGCTCGCTCTAAATATTTTTCTACCAAATTCTTGAAAGGCTTAATGTTCTTTGAACACTCATAATATTAGAATTATTTATTTTTAAATAATCATTACACGCAATTTAAAAATTGACATACCAAATATGTTAGGGCTTGCATGGTTTGGGTTCATTTGCGCTTTTTAAATGGTGTCTTAGCAATATAATTGCATCTGAACGCGTTTTTGCCTTAAACTTTAATTGCAGCATTTCAAAATAGCTTTCAATTGCCTACTCTGTAATTGCAAACAAATAATTAAAAGTTATAATTAACATTATAGGGAAAATTTAACAAATTATAAGCCTTCGGCGTGTTTTCCGTTCTGTTTCTTATTTGAATGGCACCAGAAACATCGATAGTCAAAATTTAACAGCGATGTTTTCGAAAATCAAAAAAACATCGATGCATCGATGTTTCGATCGATGTTGCTGGACCTCTATTGTCCACCTCTATTGTTCTATTAAATACATAAATTTGAAACAACTTGCAAAAAAGAAAATTCTGAAACAATTACAACTGAACTGCGTATTTCTGTAGTATTAGATTCAACAAGGCAACCAAAAGGTAAGTTTTGGCTTTTTATTTTGTTAAACGGTTAAACTTTTGTAACATATATGTTATATTTTAGAAGACCGCACACCAATTTACAATTTCTGCCCAAATTGCAATGGACTCCTTGGACCATAAACTTAAAGAGTTGTCCTTTTTAAAAGATGAGCCATTAAATAGAGCTGCGTCTGTTTGTGATGAACATGAGTTGGTCGACAAGTTACGGCAAAAGCGACCATCTGTTCCTCCAAAACCACCAAAGAAATACAATGAATTGCCACAGGTACCTTGTATATTTATGAGATTCTTATAAATCGAAGTGAAAATTTGGTTTTCTAAGTACAGTGAATGATTTACCATACACCCAGCAGTTCTATGAAATCCCAGCGATTTATAATCTTAAAATAATTATTTAAAACAAAACTAATTTGTTAACTTCACAAGGGATCGGATGAACTAATTTCGTGAATTGTGATTTTTATTCTTATTCTTTCGTTTGAAGCACTATTAAATTCATAATTTTTAAACCATTGCAGAGGGTATTATAATTTCAGTCAAAAGTTTGCAACGCAGTGAAGGATACATTTTCGAAGTATATATATTATTGATCAGCATCACCAGGAGAGTCGATCTAGCCATGTTCGTCTGTCTGTTTCTACGCAAACAAGACCCTCAGTTTTAAAGCTATCTGCTTGAAACATTCCCAAAAGTTGTCTTTCTATTGCAGGTAGTATATAAGTCGGAACGAGCCGGATCGGGCAACTAAATCATATAGCTCTCATAGGAACAATCGAAAAAACAATTCCAAAAAATTATAACTTTGTTGTTTTTATTTTTTTTTTGTTTTTTCTTTGGAATTTTTTTATATTTAAATATTATGGAAATACGGTTTTAAATTAAAATCGGACAACAATATCATATAGCTGCCATAGGAACGATGGCAAAGTGCAGCGCAAAATCGACATAGCTTCATTGTTTTTAGTAATATAGTTATAGAAATCGAAATGTAGTTGTTTTGTAATAACTGCAAGGGTATATAAACTTCGGCTTGCCGAAGTTTGCTTTCTCCCTTGTTATCATTTAAATGTGTTTACACATAAAAAGTTAGCTGTAATTATAAAAATTAGACAACTTACGAAAATAAAATAGCAGAAATTGGTATTAAAGCATAAATAGCTAAAAGGTCTAATTTAGATAATTATGGTCTAAAATTTAAGGAGCAAATATATTTTTTTATTAATTTGAAAAATATTTATTCTTGGATACACGTTAGATCAAAGTTAAAAAAATTCTTGTTTAAAAATGTTACACTAATAAAAAATAAATATAATATAAAATTATTGTTGTCAAGCTGAGAATAGTATTTTAGTTATTATTTAATTAAAGCACTATGCTCACCTTACGTTAAATTAAGGGGAAATCCTTTATAAAATCACGAAACAAAGCCATATTTAAAGGAGTTTATTCTTGTTAAATATTGAAATTGTTGTCCGATTTTGACAAAACTAAAAGCGTAATTCTGATATAGTAAATAGTTACTATATCTCAAAGGAGTATATTGAAAAATAAAAAAACAAAATACAATTTTTTTTCATCTTATTTCTTTTTATTTTTTGATTTTCCTATGTGTATATAGGATAGGTGGCAGATTTTAATTTAATTAAAACCGTAATTCCATAGTAATTTAACATTACCAAATCCCATAGACCAAAAAAAAACAAAGTTATACTTTTATTAATTTTTTTCCCGATTGTTCCTATGGGAGCTATATGAGATAATCACCCGATCCGGCTCGTTCCGACTTCTATACCTGCAATAGAAAGAGCACTTTTGGGAAGCAGATAGCTTTAAAGCTGAGGGACTATTTTGCGTAGCAACGGACGGACGGACATGGCTAGATCGACTCTCCTGGTGATGTTGATCAATAATATATATACTTTAAAGAGTCGAACATTTCTCTATCACTGTGTTGCAAACTTTTGACTGAAATTATAATACGCTCTGCAAGGGTATAAAAAAATGTGGTTATTGAATTGCCAGAAATGGTCGTCTGCTTTACACTAATTTGATCTGATTTACTGAATATTATTTCATTTGAATAGTCATTTCATTTATATTTTTTTCATAGACTCTTATATTTAACTTTGTAAAGCTTTTACATGACAGGCCATTGATAGCTGAGAGGCCACCGTTTCACTCACAAGGCGAACTGGAATACGGGCAGTTGGAATACAAATTAAAAGATAGAACCATCATCACGTTTATCATAAATTATTTTTAAAGTCGGTCGGGGTTGCTTTTATTACTCCTTTACATTTAGCAAACCTTTTGGCGACCCCGGGTGGACTCCGACACGAATTTTGAATTAATTAAAGAATTCATTTTTGCCGTTCGCCGCCGCCGACCGCATAAGTACATCTGCGGGAACTTTACTGGAAACATCCCCAAATTTCCACCATGCCACAGTGTTTTCGAGAAATGATCGCCAACTTGATCGTCGAGGACTTTGATTATCATTGACAAACACACATTCAATTGAAGTGTGCAAATTCACCCCTACACAGCTTCATCTTCGCGGATTAGGTGAAACCAAATTCATTCTTTGCTTTCGGGATTTTCGTTGCTCTCACTGCTTTTGATACAAGCCCCGGTTGTTGTCACAAATAATAGGCAATCTACCGTCTGATCGGCCATTCAGAGTCAGCGGAGTCGATCTTTTTGACCCCAATAAAGTATCGTTAGGAATCCGCGGCAAAACATCACTCAAAATGTTTGTGGCCATTTCTATCTGCTTCTCGACAAATCCATCCATCTGGAGCTTTTAAAGGATCTCACATCTAATTCATTCCTTCTTTGTCTTAGCAGATTCACCAGTCGCCGTGGGCCTCTCGAAAAACTGTACTACCACAATGTAAGTAATTTCGTGGGTTCGGCAAGAATGCTTCATGAGATCACTGCTAACCTCGAACCAAGCAACGTATCAAACAACGTTTCTGGCGAGAATGGTCTCGCGAATAACTTACAAGCTTGCACTAAAGAGCCAAGTGGACTAAGGAAACTGCCAACATAATAATTGGAGCCGTCGTCGTTATAAAGGATGACAACTTGGCTCCCCACATGTGGCTGCTCGAAATCATCACTGATCTTCCGAACAGATGAAAAGGTGTGAGTTGCAGTGGTGAATACTAAATCTTGAACCTACAAGAGAACAGTTCACTGTCTTGCCCCACTACCATTAGATTGAAAACCTAGAGTTCTTAAACGCGGGCGATGTATAACACATGGATCAATAAGTCCCGAGACTAACAATGAAAACAACATTTTTTTGCAACATTTTTTTTTTGTTCATCACCATAATCACCTTTTAGGGTGATACAATCGTTCCGAAGCTTTTTTTTTTTTTATTATTATTTTTATTCATTAGAATCTGTTCAGTGCCTTCTGAACTTAACCTAGCGTAATTAACGAGAAAGAAATTTTATGGATACATAGTAGCCTTAAATCGTTCCAAAGCTTTTCCAATTTTTCAATACCATGTTTATAAAAAAATATTTTTCGTTTTAAAATAAGTTTCAGTTTCAGCAATGACCTCCTCATTTGAGCCAAATCTTTTTCCCTGGAGCATTTTTTTGAGATCAGCAAAGAGCCAGTAGTCACTGGGGGCTAAATCTGGCGAGTATGGGGGGTGGAGAAGCAGATCAAAGCCCAATTCGTTCAATTTTGCCATTTTTTTCATCGACTTGTGGTGGGGTGCATTGTCTTGGGGAAAAAGCAATCGCGGCACCCACTTGGAAAAAACCTTTTTCATATGATACCTGTGTCATCTCTGCAATCTCACGGAGCTTCACTTTACGATCTTTCATAATTTTTGTCACTTCACTCACATTTTCCGGTGTAACGGCTTCTGGTCCGATCGACTTAAAATTTTAACACGTTTTAACTAAAAGATAGATTTTTAGAAAGACCTTGTTACTGGTTTACTACGAGTGCCATCTCGGAGTTAATCTGGGGACTTATTGATCCATGTGTTATTCATTTGATGTATTTTCCTTATCATAGACTCTTATAATTAACTTTCTAAAGCTGTTGCATACCAGGCCACTGATAGCTGAGAGGCAGTTCAAAGGCTGCTTAAATCGTTTATCAAACTCCCCCACGGCTCGGCACTAACGGCTCACTTTTGAATTAAAATCTTGTTAACCCACTCTGAAAACCCGTTCTGTTAAGCAACACTTATATAAACCCTGAAATTGAATAAGGCAGTTAAAATAAACGTTTGAAGATAGAACCATCTTCATAAATTTATCGACGCCTTTGCCAAGCTCTTTCTTTAACCGTTATTGGGTCCAATAGGAACAACAAGAATCCGGCGATAAAAACTAATGTGTTGTGTGATGTGATAAAAATTAATGCGTTGTTAACTTTGTAGATTTCGCCTTTATGATTATTGTTCCCATTCCTTAAAATTCCGCTAAGGTAAATCCGGGAATCCTTTACCCAATCTTAACATATAATTTGCCTTGATCCTGCTTTTTAAATATTACTTTTTGTAAAGTCAAACAACTTTTCCTTTAATTTAAGGGACTAAAACAAGTATAGACACAAGTAGAAAACAAGTATGAAGTTGAGCAGTAAAAATGTACAAATCGATAAATTTTTAACAAAATAGTTAAATAGTGACAATAACTTTGTTCAGGGAAGTTTGGTAATTTTTTTTATTTATTCTTAATAAATTATTTCTAAAAGATAAATTAATGAGTTAACATATTTAGTTTCACCTAAATATCAGAATATTAGATAAATAATTAATCAAGTTTGTCACTTTATTTGTTCCAGTGCAGTGGTGCAAAGTGTTTGTGCAATTGTAACCTGTCTGCAATTGCAAAACCACTGTTGGCTACGGCACATACACGTGCATGGAAAAAAAAAATTATAAAATTGATCCGTTTCAGGCAGTAATTGCGATAGAAGCGAACAGTTCGCGTTGCCCATAAGTGCAATTAGATTACAAACCAATAAATCGGCAACTGAATCGCATCCAATTGTTTATTGTCCATATAAGCATCATCGTGTCGATGATCGTCGGCTAGTTGCTATAAAACTCAAACAGGCAGAGATAGAATGGGTTTCAAACCTTAAGTGACATTCAAATGCCAAAAATTAAGAATCGGCTTAGAAACGGTAGGTAGACGAAACTGTCATTTTCTGCTAGATATAAATGAAAAAGTACTGATTAAGACAATGCATTTGGACAATAAGTGTGAATATAATACAACTAGCTGT